CCTGTGGTCCCAGCTACTTGGGAGGCAGAGGCAAGAGACTCGCTTGAGCCCAGGAGTTGGAGAGATTGAGGTTGCTGTGAGCTATGACGCCACTGTGGCACTCTGAGGGGGAGAAGTAGAGCCAGGAGACCACAAAGTGAGACTCTGCCTCAACAAAACCCCCCAAAAACTGTTGGCTTGGTGCCCATTGCTCAGTGGTTAGAGTGCTGGCCACATACACCAGAGCTGGTGGGCTTGAACCTGGCCCAGGAGGCCTGCAAACAATGACAATCACAACATCAAAGAAAAAAAAAATAGCCGGGTGTTGTGGTGGGCGCCTGTAGTCCCAGCTACTCAGGAGGCTGAGGCAAGAGAACTGTTTAAGTCCAATAGTTTAAGATTGCTGTGAGCTGTGATGCCACAACACTCTACCAAGGGTGACATAGTAAGACTCTGTCTCAAACAATAATAATAATAAAAACTGTTTCCCCAAATGAATCTGGTGCTACTTCTAGTTTCTTCAATGTATACGCTATTTTAGACCTCCTTCCATTGATACATTATTTTCTCTTCCTGAAATCTCCTGGCCTCTAATTAATTACCTTTCAAAACTCAGCTCACAATTCCATTCCTCTGGAAGCTTTTTACCATTTTCCAGCATGGATATAAGCACTCTCACTTTAAATTTCATACTGTATGTATATCTAGGCTAACAGTGAATTATATCTGATTTCCTTCTTTTGTGTGTGTGACAGGGTCTCATTGTGTTGCCCAGAATAAGAGCAGGCTGGAGTTCAGTGGTATAATTAGAGCTTACTGTAACTTCTAACTCCTTAGGCTTAAGCAATCCTCTCACCTCAGTCTCCTAAGTACCCACCACATCTAGCTAATTATCTTCATTTTCATTTTTCTTTTCTTTTTTTTTTATCTTCATTTTCTTTTTAGCCAGAATGTCACTTCATTGCCTTGGGTAGAGTGCCTTGGCGTCATTGTAGCTCACAGCAACCTCAAACTCTTTGGTTCAAATGATCCTCCTGCCTCACCCTCCCAAGTAGCTGGGACTACAGGGGCC